TATATATATATAGTGTAATAATTGTTACTTTTAGGGACTAAAGGAGTTCAAACGTCTTCTGAACACAAAGATCTTGTTTTGTGTTATAATGTTATAATGGTGGAGGCCTCTTGCTGCTCTGTGATATTATTCATCTCTGTTATGTTTGTTTATTTTTATTTTATTGTTTAAATTGTGCAAAATAAATTATCAAAAAAATGAAAAATAATGACTTTTTTATTGGTTTTATTGTCGTTTTATCGCAAAAGAAAACGTAATTTCTCGTCGACGAAATAAATGATATAATCTGTGGTTTGAAGTCGGATCTTTGCGTCTTCAGATCCAGATCCACCTGGACCCCCACAGGAGCCGGTCTTACCTCGTCCTGGCTGCTCTCCACCTTGGGGTTGCTGGCCGTCCTCTTCAGGTTGCTGCTCAGACTGATGCTGACGGTGGCGTCCGACTTGGAGCGCTGATGTGTGCGTTTGGAGGGCGACAGACTGTGCTCGCCGGTGGACGCCGCCAACGGACAGAAAGGCGTCAGAGTCAGAGTCAGGGGGTCTCTGCGGGCCCGGGACCCCGACGGTTTGAGTTCATCAGACAGGATGAGCTTCCTCAGCTTGGTGCCTCTGGAGTGACGCTGCGTGGAGATGTGCATGTCGGAGGAGTACGCTCCCAACAGCCAGGCGCAGCGCAGGCTGAAGGAGATGCTCTGTCTGCAGCGGTGCACCTGAACGCAACACGCAGGGGGGTCAAAGGTCACGGAGCAGAAAGTAAGAAAAGCTTTCGTTGATTTATGCTCACAATTATCAATAAGCTCCCAGAATGAAAATGAAAGCAGAAGATCACTGCGTTCTGTATGAAAACACACTGATAATGATAAACATGTATATCACATCATCCGTCATATAGTAAGTCTACTTCCTACTCGCTGCAGCGTCGTTAATCTTCCAGATCTATGGTAGTTAAGAGAAAAACATCAATACGACTTTATGAGGACGGCTAGTTCATTTTTAGAAACAGGAAGTGTTAAAAATCTAAATGTGAGTAAACAGATGAGAATCCTCTCTATATCGAGGCGCTAAGCTACAATGCTACGCTACAAACAAAGCGTTAGTGTTGATACACGATACGAGGTTAATGTATTATTAATGAATACATAATCATTATTAAGTATACGTATCACTGTACTCGTCTAACTTTCACCCTCAACATAAAGACGTCCAATCAGAGCGCGACGTCCTGTTTAAGCCCCGCCCCCCGCCACAGGCCACACCCACCACGTAAGGCTTGATGGCGTCCCCGACGTCCTCGTCCATGTGGATGTACATGTTGAGCAGCTGCGGGAGGTAGAAGTCCACGTCGTCGTGGGCGAAGCTGAAGAGCCGGTTCCCGATGTAGGCCTGCACCCCTGGCTCCTTGGAGCTGTGCAGGTAGGAGATCGCCATGGAGACGTCGAACAGCTTGGACTCGAACAGGCGGAGCAGCCACGACTGTTTGGACGGGTTGTGTCTCTGGCGCCACCGGGCGCTCTTCACCGAGCCGGGGGCCGGACCCTCTGGGTCGTCCGCCGGCAGTTTCACCGGGACGCTTAACGGTAGCTCGGGTTCAGGCTCCGCCTCCTTGTCAGGCTCCGCCTCCCCATTGGGCAGGTCGGCGACATCACCGTCCACCTGGTGGAGCTTCACCTGCTGCAGAACCTCCCGGCACGCCTGCTGGGCCACCTCGGCGTCGATCACCGGGCCGAGCTCGCCCACGGCCTCGCTGATCACACCCAGAGGGGGGGTGACGGGGGAGGGGCTGTTCTGATCAGAGGGGGCGGGGGGGGAAAGCTCCGGCTCCGTGTCCTCCATCGTGACCGCTGGGAAGCTCCGCCCTCATCCGCTGAAACAGAGGAAAGGTCAAAGGTCAAAAAGTTGTCTCTCCACCCACTGAACATTTCACAAGGGGGGGCGGAATCTCTTCTGATTGGACCTCATTACGCTAGTCTCCTCTCGTGACTCGTGAGGAGACAAGGAGGGAGGAGGGAGGAGGCTTCTAGGAGGAAACACCAGTTTCGTTTGTTAAAGTCTTTCTGGTGAATACACTGTGGTATTAGTACTTTAACAGAGTACCTCTACACTGTGGTA